ACCCTGCGCCCCTCTTGCCCGCGGGGCGCCCGGCCCGCCGGCGCGGCCCCCTCCCCTTACCGGAGCCCCGCCCGCCGAGGTCCGGTCCCCCTTCCCCAAACGGACCCCCACCGGTTCCCGGGCACCTCCGGCGCTCACCCGTGCGGCCGCTCCCCAACCGTCCAGTGACAGGCCCTCAGCCAGAGGGCTGCGACTTTTCTCGTGCAGCCAGCCTGCGTCTGGCCTCGTCTCCATAGCTGCTCCAAAGAAAGACCCCAGGCCCACCGAGCCACCCAGTGGACCGGGCGCGCAGACAGACCCCTGTCTGCCCGCTTCGCAGAAACGCCCCTACCCCCGACCTGCTCACCCTCAGCCCCGGCAGCTAGGCCCTGTCACTCCCCGAAGAGCCCAGGGTCCCGGCATGGGGTCCCCGGGGTGCGGGTCCGCTGTCAGGCAGGGAAGGGCCACAGCGGCCTTGTTCTGGAACCTCAGACCACTTCCAGCGTGGTTTGCTAGAGTCATTTTTGGGTGATGTGAAAAGACCCTCGTAGTCATGGTGTTTGCTCCCAGCCAGGTCCGTTTACTGACAGTCTGGCAGGTGCTGTATTAGACATTGCCTCCCAGGCTGGCCCGGCCCCATAGAAGGAGGGATGCGCCAGAGCGGAAGTATGTGTCCGAGAACCCAGGTGGAGCTGGCCACCGAGTTACCTCCTGTCTCATGGCCCCGGGGTCTCGTCTTTGGGGTGGAGTCTGGGAATCAGCATTTTGCAGGGAGTCAGGAGAGCATTCCCAGCATCGGGAGCGTTTACTGAGCATCCACCTTAGGTGCTTAGGCTCACCTGGGTGAAAAGCCTGTGGGTGCTAAGAGGGGGCAGATAGCATGTGCTCTGGAGGCAGACTCCAGTTCAAGTTCACCTCAGATCCTCCTGCCTAAGGAGCTGGTCCTTAACCAGCTTCTACTTGTCTCAAAACGATTATTCCACCGAACCACCTGAGTGAGAAAAATGCCAAGCTTTCCCCCCACCCTTAGGTAGAAACATGGGGCATTGAGTCAAGAATTCTTATTTTTAAAAGTTCAGCTGATTTTTTGGTGTTAATGCTTTGTTAGCCCAAGGGGTGGGCGAATGGGGCTGGAGCTGGGAAGGGTTGGGGTACCTTTTCATTAGGACCACCCTCACCTGAGGGCAGCCAGTTTGCTGGAGTCACGCCCCACCTCCTGGCGGGTCTCAATTTTTATGCTAAAAGAGCTACTCTGGGCCCCCTGAGCTGCCCATTCACTCTAAAATCAAGTCTCTTCCTGCCGGTGCCTCGCTTGGCTAGCCCTGGGCCCCACTTCCTTCAGCCCTGACCCCTCAGAGTGGGGTTCTGGGAAAACAGACTGCCTTGCTCTTCCGGCCCTGGACTTGTCCAGCCCACTGGCGAAGGAGCCTTGGGCCAAAGATAATCACCAAGCGGCCAGCATTTACTGAGCTCAGCTGTGGGCCAGCACTTTGTTCCTGGGGCAGGTTTACCTGAACCGCCCCTCCCCCACCCCAGTGTGGGCTTTGGGTGCAGCGGCACCCATCCTTGCTGCAGGTAACCAGGTCTTGCCGCACCGAGCGCTGCACAGCTGTTACAGTCACCCCCCCCCTCCCGGATGAAGACCTCAGGCAGCTCTGTTCCGATGGCTCCCATTGCATCTTGGTGTGACAAGGAGCCTGTGCAAGCTTTCAGTTTTCAACTCCGAGCGAGGATTTCCAGAGCATAAACTCGTTAGTGATGGCGCCGGCTCCCAGGAGCTGGATAGCCAGCGATTTTCGCAGGAGCGTCTCGGTGGCTCTCTTTTTGAATAACGCTTTCCCTAGTTGCAGAGTCACCCGGCGTGCTTCTCTGAGGTGTGTCCAGGTAATGGGACCTGTCCCCGTGTGGATTTGGGCCGGCAAGGTGACATCTAACGGAGCTGCAGTCTGCCCCCTCTGCAGTGGATCCGCGCACCCCTGAGGCTTCTCCCACCGTGGGGCCGGCTCCGGTTGGGCTTCCTGCAGGTGTCAGTGTCTTGCGCTCGCCTCTGGCATTCTGGAAGCAGCCTGATCTGCAGCCAGGTCCCCGGGGCAGGCCCTGCCAGGGAGCGCTGGGGCTGGTAGCACTGCTGCATCACTTGGGATGCAACTGAGGATTTGGATAAGTTCCTACGTTTGTGCGCCCCGGCGTCCCGAAGCTCAGCCTCTGGTAATTTGGCATCTTAGTTTCCTGACAAGAAGCCTTTTTTTTTTTTTTTTTTTTAAATGTATAAGCGCTCTGAAGAAGTTCCCTTGGGCTGTGCTGCATTCCTGCCTGCAGACACGTGCATAACAGAATAGAGAGCGTCCTTGAAGGCCGGGTCTTCGATCAGAGTCACAAAAGGCCTGAATGGAGTGTCTTAGCATCTGGAAAGTCCTGGCATGGGGTTAGCTTGATAGTTGAGTTCCTCAGTTTGGGACAGCGGATCTGCTCCAGGATTCAGCAAGGTGGTCAAAGCTTTTTTATCCTTTTCCTGGAAATTAATTTTTAAAACGTGGTTTGCTTGTTGGCCTAGGTCCCCACTGTAGGTTTCGATTAGCAGAGGGCTCTCCCCACTGTGAGTCTTCTGTTGGGAGCTGTGACGCTCTCTGCCTGCGTCTCCCTGCCCGGTGGGTCTCAGCCATGGCAACAGAGGAGAAGAAGCCAGAGACAGAGGCTGCCCGAGCACAGCCCACCCCTTCGTCATCGGCCACGCAGAGCAAGGCACGTCCCTAAGGGCTCCTGGGGACCGCAAGGGGCACATAGGCTGGGAGATTACCGGAAATGTCATCTGAAGCCCATCGGTTCCTTCTCCCCTTCTCCGTTAGATAGTGCCAGTTTTTACTGACCCCATTCTAAACCAGTGCTGACTTTGTACCTGCCGGGGATTCCCGGACCTGTCCCCTGGGGCGGGGGCTCCTTCCTCCCAATCGTGAGAGCCCCTGCAGGACCCAGACAACACTGTTACGAAGCACGCACGCCCTGGCCCCTGCTTCTGGTGCCTGGGCGGCTTGGCAGACTCTCCTTAGACAGCGGGCAGCAAACAAGCCCTTTCACCAAGGGAGCAAGCCTCCAGGTTTGCGTGGGGCGGGGGTGCTGGCCCAGAGCTGTCACAGGCGGGATGTTGGTGTCATGGCACTTCCCGTTGCAGTGGGGTGGGGATTAGGATGCAGGGGCCAAGCCACTGAGGTGGGGGCTTCAGGACAAGCAGGGATTCTGAGGGGAAATAACGGGCTCACGTTTAGACGTGCTCATCTTGAAAGATGACATCCGGAGGGCTCTGGTGGGCACTCGGGGTACTGATTGGCGCTCGGATGGTAGATCTGAGCTCGAGATGAGGCTTTGGGAGCCAAACGCGATTGGCGGGCAGTTGGATCGGGTGGCGGGGGTTACTGACCAGCACCCATCTCTTCAACAGCCCGCCCCGGTCAAACCAAACTATGCTCTCAAGTTTACCCTGGCCGGCCACACGAAAGCTGTGTCCTCCGTGAAGTTCAGCCCGAATGGGGAGTGGCTGGCGAGTTCGTGTACGTATCGGGGGCCTCGGCCGCTGGGCGGCTGTCAGAGCTGCAGCCCAGAAACCTGGGCCTTGGGGAGGCCAGCCTTCCGACGCCCTGCTGGGTTGGTGCAGCCGGCGTCTGACTTCAAAGAGGTCGCTCCCCATTGAAGTTGTGCCCATCGCCACTCAGGGTGCGAGGACTGGCCGCTCCCTGTGGGCGGCCCGTGTTCAGGCGGCCCGAGCAGTCCCCACTGTTCAAGGGGCCTGGGTGAGAGTCCCGATTTCCAGGCAGAGGGGTCCGAGACAACCTCAGTTCTGTTCTCCTTCCTTTCAGCTGCAGACAAACTCATTAAAATTTGGGGTGCCTATGATGGAAAATTTGAGAAAACCATATCTGGTCACAAACTGGTAGGTTCTGGAGAGTGCAGCTCCAGCGGCCGCAGGGTGGGACCCCTCTCCGGGGTCGAGGGGTCGGGCCCTTCTCTGGGGCTAGCCACGTTGTGATGTTGTCCCCTGGCTTGTTTGGGGGGGTGGTGCCTCTTGTTTTTTAAGCAAATGCTTCTGACTTCCCGAGACGAGTCCCTGCCCTCGCGAGGCCTGGCAGAGCCGCAGAGGACGTGCTTGTCCCCGGGGGCCCGCGTGGCATTTCCGTGTGCTCCCCACTCGCCAGAGGGGCTCCATGGGGATGACCGCTGGCTTGTCTTTAGTTGGGTGTTGGGGGGTTTGACCTTTGTAGGTTAGTTGTGTTTTGTCCCATCAAGATGGCGACTCTGGTTTTTCCTCCGCAGGGAATTTCAGATGTGGCCTGGTCGTCAGATTCTAACCTTCTTGTTTCTGCCTCAGATGATAACTCTCAAGAGATATGGGACGTGAGCTCGGTAAGCCAGAGCCTTGTTCCCCTCCCAGTGCTGCGTGTCCAGGTGGAGAAGGGGTGTGGGGGGGGAGGCTGGCCTGAGTTTGGGGACCAGCCAGCGCCTGGACGGCCTTGCGGCCAGCAGATGTGCCTCACAGCTGCCATTGGTTAGATTTCCATGGGTCAGCCTGACACCGACACTCGTCACTGGGAGTAACTGTCTAATGATATTTCGTTTTAGGGAAAGTGTCTAAAAACCCTGAAGGGACACAGTAACTACGTCTTTTGCTGTAACTTCAACCCCGCGTGGCATTTCCGTGTGCTCCCCACTCGCCAGAGGGGCTCCATGGGGATGACCGCTGGCTTGTCTTTAGTTGGGTGTTGGGGGGTTTGACCTTTGTAGGTTAGTTGTGTTTTGTCCCATCAAGATGGCGACTCTGGTTTTTCCTCCGCAGGGAATTTCAGATGTGGCCTGGTCGTCAGATTCTAACCTTCTTGTTTCTGCCTCAGATGATAAAACTCTAAAGATATGGGACGTGAGCTCGGTAAGCCAGAGCCTTGTTCCCCTCCCAGTGCTGCGTGTCCAGGTGGAGAAGGGGTGTGGGGGGGGAGGCTGGCCTGAGTTTGGGAACCAGCCAGCGCCTGGACGGCCTTGCGGCCAGCAGATGTGCCTCACAGCTGCCATTGGTTAGATTTCCATGGGTCAGCCTGACACCGACACTCGTCACTGGGAGTAACTGTCTAATGATATTTCGTTTTAGGGAAAGTGTCTAAAAACCCTGAAGGGACACAGTAACTACGTCTTTTGCTGTAACTTCAACCCTCAGTCCAACCTCATCGTCTCGGGCTCTGTGAGTGTGCTGGCCGCTCCCGGGGGAGGCGGGTGGGCTGGGAGTGGCCATTGCGTCACGGTAGATGAGCTCTGAGTCGTTCTGTGCCGCTCGTGGGGGACAGCGGGGCGCTGCTGGCAGACCGTGGGTTCCGGAGGATCTGCCCGCCCCTCTGCTCCCTGCGGGATCACTTTCACCTCTTCTGCCCGCAGTTCGACGAGAGCGTGAGGATATGGGACGTGAAGACGGGGAAGTGCCTCAAGACTCTGCCTGCACATTCGGACCCGGTGTCCGCTGTAAGTCCTGCGACCTGTGAACGTCCAGTTCTTGATGTTCACCCGACAGTGTAGAGCGATGGTCAGGGGGTGGCCACTGGGGATCTGGGGAGCTCTCACAGTCCTGTGCCCCAGGGACGGCCAGGTGGGCGTGGTGTGGGGGCGTCCCGGAACCCAGCCTTACAGGACGAGGGGCCATGCATCGGGAGATATGACCAGGGATGTAAGTTCAGAGTGGAGCTGACTTCGCTGGGTGGTGGGTAGAGGCTGGTGGCGGTGACCGATCTTGACTGAGACTGCTCGGTAGGTGGGGCCCTGTGAGCTCACCACAGGTGGTCTTCTGCAGATGCCACCAGTGTCCACGATGGGTGTGCAAGAGTTGAATTCCATTGTCATAAATTGCTCCTTTTAGAAAATGGCCAAAGGTTTCCTTTGTTAGCAAAGAGCCCGAGGTAGTTTCTCGGCCATGTGCGCCCCACGTGCGCCCCCGAGAAGCAGAGGGCTCTCTGTAAGCGGTGTCTGGCTCCTGGGCGCGTGGCCCTTCTCGCTGTCTAAAGGTGTGTGGCCGGGTGATTTTCAGCATCTTTGGCCTTGAAAGGCCTTTTTGCCCATCCGAGACCGTAGCAGGGCCCTGGCCCACCCAGGACATGGGGTGTGTGCCTGCAGAAGCCAGCCATGGAGGCCTGACCCTGGGACACGGCCCTCACTGGCAGAGTCGCCTCAGGTGCCTGGGCTCGGAGGAGGGCGTGTGCCCATGTGGCGGTGAGCCGCAGGCCGGTCTGGCCCCGTGCGTCATCCCGCCCTCCAGCGTGGGGTCACAGTCCGATACAGGCGCACAAGGGAAAGTGTGTGAGAGCGTCCCGTCTGCGACGGTGCTTGGGTGGCCAGGCGGGCTCTGGCCTTACGTAGTGTGGGACTTTTAGTGTCTTTGTTTCTGACACCAGCAACCTGTGTCCGCTAGAGGGACGGCCGTGCAGGTGGGGGTCAGCCCCCCGGGCCCCCGGCCCCCCGAGCCCACGCCACCCCTCCCAGCACCCGACCGGGCCCCACCTGCCCTCCGGTGCCTCGGTGTCAAATGCGTGGTGTCCAGCCACCCCCTCTGTTTGACGGTGGGGGGGCACTGTGCGCAGCCGCTGTCCTGCCACTGCTCGTCTGCTTCTGGAAGGTCCCTCGGCAGCGCAGTGCACAGCCTCTGGCCCAGACCCCTGGCGCTGCACACCCCGGGGGCAGTGGACGCTGCCAGTCACCCCACCGGGCTCTTGTTTGTAACGGTCACTTTTACTGAAAGTGCAGCGGACACGGTTGTTCAAACAGCCTCGCGTACTCGGGCGACAGTCTCTGCAGGGCGAACATCGGGAGGGCGCGGTGTCTGAGCGCGCCCCGCTTCACAGCTGCGTGGGGACCCGGCAGCCCAGGCATGCTGGCGTTCCACTCACCCCGCCCCGCCCCTCCTTCCGCTGCTTCGGGCCAGCTGCTGTCCTCGCTGGCTTGGACGCCGGGCCCGGCTTCTTACCCGAAGTCCCCTTCTGTCCCTCTCGTCCTGCCCTCTCGCAGCCCCGCGGCCGGTGTTGATTCTTTACTGGCCCGCACACGGCTTTTCCTGCCTCGGCGCTTTGGCGCGAGTTCCTCTGTCCCCTGGTGTCCCCACTGTGGGGCTCCGAGTGACTTCATCTGCGCTGAGACTCGGCACCCCGCTGCGTTCGTTCCGTCGCCGTTTCTGCTTCCTCGCAGCTCAGTTTGGGGCTGTCTTCAGCACATGCAGTGCGGGCGCAGTGGCCTCTGACGCTGGAGCGTGGGTTCAAGGGAAAAGCTGTGCCGCGTTCGCCAGCGGTGACACCTGGACGTGGCCGGGAACAAGGCAAAGCATGGAGTTGGCATTGCAGGTGTCGGGGACCTGTGTCAACTCGTCATCCAGTGTAGTGGCCTCGGTAAAAATATTTCGCACAATCAAAGAAGCGGATGAACGTGGTTAGGTTGACTGACGTCAGGGATAGAGAAAACACCTTTGGGAGCTAGTGCCCACGGTGACAGTTAAGTGGCCTGCACTGCAGAGAGCACGGAGCGCGCAGCGGGTGGGGATGGGTGGACAGCTAGGAACCTGGCGTGTCTGCTGGGGTCCTGCAGAGCCACGCCGCCCAGGGTGCAGGCGCCAGCCACACGCGACAGTCGGACGCTTGAATCCAGATTGAGACGTGTAGCGTGAAATACACGTTCGGGTGTCACAGATTTGGGGCCACAGAAGAGAACGTGAAGTATCTTATCAGTGACTTAATGTCGATCACGCGTTGAACCAGTAGTTCAGAGGTGTTGGGTTAACCAAAACCCACCGATTTAGTTTCACCTGTTACTTTCCTCCCGCAGCCACTAGAATAGTTAAAGTTGTACGTGTGGCTCACTGGGCTCCTTGAGCCTAGACCAGTGGTTCTCCAGGTGTGGTCCCGGGGCCGGAGCGTCAGCACCTCTGAGAATGTGAGAGAGATGCCAAGTGGCGGCGTCCAGCTTTGCCCCTGGGGACGTCGGCAGTGTGTGGAGACGTTTTTGGTTGTCACAACCAGATGCTACCAGCATCTCCATGAGTCCGGGAGAAGGGTGCTGCCCCACAGCGAAGAGCAGCGGGACCGAAATGCCAGCGGTGCAGAGGCCGACACCGGTGTGGACAGGAGGCGTGAACAGACCCCGCCTGTCCCCGAATGGGACCCGGGCTTCTCTACGGCTCGCCGTCCCATGGGGTGTGTCCTATGGCCAGAAACGGGACGGTCTCCGAAGGGCGCTGCCTGGAGAAAGGCTCGCGCTGCGTCGTCGCTCCAGGGGTCAGGTGAAAACGATAGGGACGTGTGACGGACTCGGACTGCTGGCATCGTGACCTTTGCTCCTGCTGAGATGCAGCTGGGGAAAGGAGGAAAGGAACCCGGGTTCTGAGCGGCTCCTGGGGTTGGAATCCGTCTGAAGCCGTGTCTCGCCCCCTGCAGTGTGCAGTGAGGCTTTCCGCTCAGGCCAGTGCTGTGGGGGCGCAGCGAGCCTCTGGGACAGGCAGCCCCTGGGGGGCGCACTTCCTCCTGGGCACAAGGTTTGGAGCCACTTGGGTCGTGCTGTCCCCTCTGCACATGGAGAAAGCCCGAGGCGGCTCGGGCACTCCCAGCGTCGGGGTCAGGCCCGGAGCACGGCGGGGGTCTGGGACTCCTGGACTCGGCGGCTGTCAGCAGGCAGGACACCTGAGTGGAAGGCGCCGGAGTCCGCGTGGGATGGTTAGTGAGTCAGTCTCTTCCTCCTGATATTGGTCGCTTTTTAAAAGCGAGGTCGGGGCGTTGTTTTTAGCCACCTTGGGGTCAGGTAGCCTTCGCAGCAGCGCCGGGCTCCCGGGAGCTCGCCCCTCTCTGGGAGGGGGGTGACTGAGTCTCGGGTGGTCAGTCGTCTGTGTTTGTTTTCAACAAGACGTTTCGTGGTTCGTGATTGAATTACTCGAGATGCGTTCAGGTTGGGTTTTCTTTTTAAAATTCAGTCACCTATTGTAAAACAGGCTGCGGCTTGAGGCTCCGGGTGGACATGGCCGTTTCGTCCGTGTCTGAGGGTCCAGGAGGTCAGTGGAATCAGATGCAGCCGCTGGGGCATAGCTGCTCCGTGAGCAGCGAGACGGCCACGCGTGTGTCGCGGGCGTTCGTGGGGGGAGCTGTCCAGGCAGGAGGCGTCTGTGTCGATGGTTTGAAAGTAAGTTTCTTTCTCCCCCACTCCTCACCCTCAGGTCCACTTCAATCGCGATGGCTCCCTGATAGTGTCCAGTAGCTATGACGGGCTCTGGTAAGTGACGTGACCTTCACGGGGTCGGCGAGTATTTGGGACAGGCCTCCTCCCGCACCGGCCGGGCCTGTGACAGCTGTGGTGGGCTGGGCGGGGACACACACATAGCCTCAGGTGGCGAAGCCACTGCCCAGGCAGACGGCGGGTGGGGGTGGCGTGGCCTGGAGGGTGGGCTCCTGGGACAGTGCTGTCCCCACCGAAGGGGCCCAGCCAGGCGTGTCGGTGCAGGACCTGGCTCCGTCTGTGTGGATGCTGAGGTGTGCGCATCACATGCCTCTGGTGTTGGTGTGGGTCTGAGGCGTCACCATAGCCAGCCTGGCATCCCATGGGGGCCGTGTCGGCCTCGAACGGGGTCTCGGGGCCAGAGGTCCAGCCGGCCTCTGCGGGCCTTGCCCGTAGGGCTCGGAGTTCGTTATAAGAGTGTTCGGGATTCAAGGGACGTGAAGGAAATGAACGCGTTTTAAATTTGACTCAGCAAGACCCTCGGAGGGGTGAGTGCAGGGTGAAGCTTAGCTTGAATGCGGGTCGGGGGGCGGCAGCGTCGTGACTTTCGGTTACTGGAAGCGCATGGCACGGTGGTGGCCACTAGCCGAATCGATGACCTGAGTAGAACATCCCAATTCCAGGGAGAAAGACCGTGACTAGAAATTTGTCCACATTTAGCAAAAGTAAAAAAAAAAAAAAGAAAGAAAGAAAGAAAATAGAGTCACACGGTGATTCGTGGAAGGCCAGGGCAGGGCCGGGGCGCTGTGTGTCGGTACAGGACCATCGCAGTGAGTTGGCGGGAAACCTGTCGAGGCTGCGGGTTTGGGCAGAAGCCCTTTGTTCGTCTCGAGGAGACCGAGCTGGGACCCAGTGGCTGCCGCAGGTGCAGGATGGGCGGCCGGTGTCGGGCGGGCAGAAGGCACAGGCGCTGGGACTCGAGTAGGGTTTGTTTAAGGACAGCGGCCGCGGGCCACAGCGACCGTGGTGAGCCGGGCGGGGTCGGTGGAGCACGCTGAGCGGAGACTCGGCACCACGCGACAGGGCGGCCAGCGAGACCACGTTGAAGCCAGAAACAGAACCGAAGCTTAACGCGTCACGAAGACTGTGACGGAGGGGACTTGGGACTTCGCAGGTCTGAGCAACACCCCAGCTGTGCGCGCTGCCGGCGCAAAGTGGGGGTTTTCTTAAGAGCGGGGACACCCAGTGGCTTGTGAAGAAATAGAAAAATAAAAAGTTCACCCAGAAAGGAGGAGGAAGTTTGTGAAGTTAAAAGCTAGAGGACGGAGAAAAGTCACAGGCAAATTTAAAAAGCTGAATTCTTTAATGAGGCCAGTAAATAATAACAATAGCCTTTATGAACCCAAACAAGGAACGAGGCAAAAACAAGCAAGATTAAACTGGAGAGCGGGCGGGGCGCTCGCAGGTTCGGGGGTGAAAGAGGAGAGAGCCCCGTCCACCGCTGAGCCGCCGGGGCCTCAGGCTGAATCCCTGCTCCGTGTCGACTGAAAGGGGGCTCGAGGGGGCCGGAAAAGGTGACCGAGGGGCCAAAATGACATCAGGCCCTACGGTTTCATACAGAATTCGCTTGAATAAAAACTTCTGTGTCTGCTGAAGCCGTTCTGACCACAGACCGAGCGGGGCGCCCCGTTCTCTACGGGTCTGGCACCCCCCCTGCCACGCTGTGCAGAACGAGCCCCACGGGGACACGTCACTCGTGAATGGTGGGGCCAGGGCTCCAGGAGACTGTTAGCAAGCATTCCAGCCGTGCGTCCGAAGTCGCGTTCTGTAACCAGGTGCGTTCGCTGGACACGGAAAGGGCTGTGGAACGTGCGCATCGAGCAGCCCGTGACCTTAATTACGCCGACAGACTGAGGCCGCCTCCCATGTAGTTTACTCCCAGTACAGGTCAGACAGGTGGCTGAGATCCAGCAGCCTCCTAATAGAAACTCTCACAAAATAGGCCACTACTTCAGTTTATTTAGCAGAAACTTAACGGACGTCTTTCGTCACGAGCGGCGACACTCAGCCCGCATCCGTGACATCAGGAGTGGGACTGTCTTGCACTCTGCTGTCATTGGGTGCAGTTTGGAGTTTCTAGTTAATGTGGTAAGAAGCTAAGGGGTTACCAGTCAGCGGATGAGGAAAAGTTCCACGTGTGATGGTGACAAACGTCAGGGCACTTAGGGATGTGTCTGACGAGAGCAGAGCCCGCGTGGAGAAGAGCACGGGCTGGAGCTGCAGGGACAGAGCAAAGAGCCGTGGGCCGGGGGCAGGGCGCGCGGCCCAGTCCCAAGGCGGGCACGTTGGCCGTCAGCGCCGCCCTCAGCCGATCCGGGGTGTTCCTGCAGCTGGTGACGGACGCTTCTCATTCACACGCGCGTTTTGGGCTGTGTGCGGGGACTCAGGACAGGCTAGTGACAGAGTCGCCACGTCTGGGCAGGAGAGCCTGGCTGACGCCACTGCAGCACGCAGTGTGGAGTCATCCTGGGCTGACAGGTGCAGGGGGTCACCGACCCCGGGGCCAGAGTTGCTCCCGGGGCAGGGACCTCGGCAGGGCGAGCAGCGGGGCTGGTCCCAGAAGCCGGCGGCGTGACAAGCCCCCCCAGGGGGCAGGGAGTTGAGACTGCCACGTTGGCCTGGAATCGGGGTCTCCATCCTGAGGTGGGGGGGTATGGGAGACGACCTGTCAGTATCTGACCACGTGCCCTTCGACCCCGTGCCTCCACACTGGGGTGTGCTTCCAAAAACGTGCTGTCCGGACAAAAGTCCCAGAAGCACCAAAGCGGGATGGACGTGGCGCCCGGCCCATCCACGCCAGGAGCAGCGGGCCTTTGAATGAGTTCTCGATGCCGAATTCGAGGGACGTCCAGGAAACTGCCTGTGACCATCTACTGTTTCCAAAAACAAACTCCCGAATGACTAGAGCTCAGTGTGTTTCAGGCTTGGGGACCTGGAGGAAAACGGCCAGGCTGCTGGCGCCTCCCTTTGCGAAGTCCATGTGGACGGTGCCATTCCGGTCCCCGGAGCCTAAAGCGTGGGCGGGCGGGGCAGCGGGGAGGCCAGCTGGGGAGTGTGTCTTTGGGGAGCTCGTGGGCCCTTGGGAGCCACTGGTGTTCTAACGGTGTGTGTTCTGTGTTGCTTCGCAGTCGGATCTGGGACACGGCCTCGGGCCAGTGCCTGAAGACGCTCATCGGTGAGTGCTGCTGGCGTCCCTTCTAGGTTCCGCGATCCCTGCAGGGGACCGGGCTGTGTCCCCGAAGGGGCCGTCTTGCACGCCTCCTAGCCTCGCTCTCCTGGTCTTCTGGGAGGGCCTCTCTCTCCTCCGCCTGCCTCTGCTCCCTCTGCGAGGGGCCCCTCCCAGCAGCCCCTTCCTGGTGAACTGGGTCCACCTTCTTCTGAAGGACGTGGGCTCCTCCGACTCCCCCGAGCCCGGCAGAGCCCTGGGCTCCTCTCAGCTCACTCCTCCAGCCGTGTGAGCAGCCCCCACCCAAGGGTGCACAGAGGTGGGCATGGAGGAGCCTGGAGGACGGGCAGTGCGGTGTCTGCCTGTGGCACTGAGTGGCGCCTTGGGGACGAGGCGGGGAGGGCAGTTCTGGGCAAGGGAGCAGTGGAGCAGGGAGCTGGGAGCTGTCCCTCCGGGAGTAGGGTGCTGCGGGCCCTGCAGGGCCTGGGTGTTGCTGTCGGGAGGGTTGCCAGTTCCCGGTGACAGCAGAGCCAGGCCGCAGCCTCCTGCTCGGCGCGGCGCCGTGTGCGGGGCGGGAGTTGGCCCACCTGAGGCAGTGCCGTCCCCAGGCTTCCTTCCCGTGGCTGTCACAGGAGCACGTGTGGCTGTGTCAGTTGCCGGGACCACGAACAACGCCACAGGCCGGGGGCTCAAACAGCCGGCCTGGTCCTCACGGTTCTGGAGCCTGGGCATCCGAGCCCAGGTGCGGGCAGGCTGGCCTTCTGTGGAGGCCTCTGCTCGGCCTCCGCTCTGTGTCCTCGGGCCCTCACACGGCTGCTCCTGTGTGTGCCCTGCTGTCCAGATCACCTCGTGGTGTGCGGACGGCAATCCCGCTGGAGCAGAGCACCCCGTGGGGCCCCGTTGTACCTCGGTCACCCCCGTGGGGGCTCTGTCTCCGTAGTCTGAGGTGCTGGAGTCAGGACCTCAGGGGGATTTGGGGGGACATAGATCGGCCCTAACAGTGGCCTTTGTGGCTTTTTTGCTTTTGGGGCCGTCCTTTGGATGTGCGCTCATGCTTCCCACGGTGACGGCGCACTGTGTGCAGCCACCTCTGCCTGACGCAGTGCTCGCTCTGTTAAGCGCTGTTACGTCAGCACGTTTAGTCCTCACAGCCCCCCAGGGAGCTGGCTTACGGGCCGGGGGCATCGGGAAGCGGGGTGCGGGCAGCAGACTGCCCCCCCGCATCTGGTTCCAGGTCCAGGGAGCTGGAGCTTTCTGGACTGGAGCTGACGAGCCCCGTGGCACGTTGCAGACAGCTGGGGCTGGGCTGCCGCGCCCCCACGTCTGAGTTACGTGGCCTGCCGTGCCGTGCGACCCCTGTGACCTGAGGTCGCGAGCAGCCTCACGCCGCCTGGTGTGCCCTTCCAGTGTCTGGGACCAGTTGGCCGCGGAGGCTCCCGGTGAGCGGAGCCGGGCCCGAGTCCTCCGGGCTGGGAAAGCCGCTCTCCCCCGAGGCTCGGACACCAGCTGCCCCTGCTCCGCACCGGAGCGCACGCCCCGACCTTCATCCTCGCTCACGGCAGGGACACGCGTTCCTCCCGACGTGAGGACCGTGGGCTGTCACGTGCTGGGAACACGGCTTTTCCGTTGGTGTCTCGGAGTGCCGACCCCTTGTCAGCTGTGAGGGTCTCTGCACAGTCCATGCTGGCTCTCACCAAATTGCCAGGGCCACCTGGGGTCCAGCAAGGACGTGCTGGGACAGTGAAGGCCATTTCTAGAGGCCGCTCGCTCTGCTCTAAGTGTGACGGAAGCGTGTCCGGGCGGACTCACCCGAGTCTCCCCGGTGCTGTTGGCGTCGCCCACGGGGCGTCTGCACGCTCCTTCGCTCAGGGAGCTTAACCCTGAGTGTCCCCGCAGGGCCGTGCCTGCCGAAGGCCTGGCAGCCGGGGTGTGAGCCCCTGCAGGCCCCGAGCTCCGAAGGCCCCCGTGGCTGAGGTGTCCCCAGACCCCCGTAAGGGCCTGCGAGGCCGTGGGCTTGTAAAGCCTTGACGGCAGGCTCTCACGACTGGCACGAGCGACGGGCCCCTCGGGTCCTGTCCAGGTCAGCGGCGGCCTCACTGGGACGTTCTCTCGTGTTGGGGGCTGCCCTCCTTCCTGCCCTGGCTGAGGCCCCAGCACCGTGCCCTGTGTGTCAGCCCCCCTGTTTCCATGCAGATGACGACAACCCCCCCGTGTCCTTTGTGAAGTTCTCTCCGAATGGCAAGTACATCCTGGCTGCGACCTTGGACAAGTAAGCACTCGTGCCTCCCGGACCTGCCAGGTGGCCCTTTCCTGCCCACGTCACACGTTCTGAGCCCAGCGCAGGGCCAGACTCCCGCCGGGACCTGGCATCTGGCTTGCAGATGCCATGCCGAGGGCCCGTCTCTGCTGGGGGCGAGCCTCTGGGGGGCTGTGGCCAGGGAAGCTCCGGCCCCGTCTGGAGTGGGGGGACCAGCCTCCGAGGTGCTTCCTGGCTCCGCTCCGAGCACCCCGGTTCCACCACACGTGGGAGTAGATGTCACGTCAGCCCGCTGGTCGCCCCCTGCAGGAGCCCCTTGAGCAGCCCTCATTCCCGCCGAGAAGGAGGGGGTGCTGTGGCTGTGCTTTGACCTGGAGGGTTCTGGAACCAGGCCTCCCGCACCCCTTTCCAGCGGGAACGAGATGGCCTCTTAGTGAGTTAGGGAGATCCCAGCAGCTGCCTTTGAAAAGTCTGTCTTCAAACCACAAATATTTGGGGTTTTCATGCTGTGCTTTGAGATGTCCTCAAATCCCTGGACCCGCACCCTGCTGGGCACCCACACTCGGACAGGGCGAGGGGTTCCGGCCCCTGCTGCGCTCCAAACGTGAGAGCAGCAGAGCGGGGTGCACGGTGACAGGAGACAGGCATCCTGGAGAGACCCCGGCACTGTGTGGCTGACGTGTCTCTCTGCCTTCCATCCAGCACGCTGAAGCTCTGGGACTACAGCAAGGGGAAGGTGAGCGGCCGGGGCCGGCTCGCGCGTGTCTGGGTTATGTGGCGTTCCCGGCTGTGGCTTTGCTGATAGCAGAGCCGAACAGGAGCCGAAGCAGCGGGGACTCGAAGCCGTCCCCGCTGAGTGGGTCTGGCACGGGTGTCTTACGGTGTGGGTTCCGATGGCCAGTCCGCGTCGGGGCTGGGCGGCTGCTTTTGCGCTGTGGGGATTCAGGGCACTTTTCAGCACTGAGTTTACTCAGCCGTAAAGCGTCTGCGCCCAGCGCGGGGAAGCGTCCGGAGCGCGAGGAAGCCAGGGCCGTGAGCAGACTGCCCCGCTTGCCTCCTCAGTGCCTGAAGACGTACACCGGCCACAAGAACGAGAAGTACTGCATATTCGCGAACTTCTCAGTCACCGGCGGGAAGGTGAGTCGTCCCCAGCGTCCTTCTCCGACGTGCGCCTGAGGCGTGACCCCGGCACAGCTCGAACTCCTAGAGATGCTTCTGTGCCCACAAAACAGACGAGCTTTTCGTTCAACCAGCGTGAAGTCACGCGACGCAGTGTTGGCGATGCTCACGCAGACGCGGACGTGTGTTCACACCTGTGTCTGGACCCGCCCCGTTCCACTAGCAGGGGCACGAGAGTCCGTGGCGAAGCACGTGACAGCCATGGCTTTGTCCTGAGCATGGCCCAAACAGGCCACTCTGCCTGCAGCTCGCGTGCCAGGCCCCTGCCCACCCTGGCTCTTCCCTTGCGTGTCTTAGTTGTTTGGTCCAGGTAGAGTGTGACTAAAGGGTCAATGGTGACGTTCAGCTGAAACGTAGGTGACACAAACGTAGTGGTCCTTTCGGAAAACAAGGCCCCAGAAGCCGGCCACGGGCGCGTTTCTCTGAGGAGACCGGCAGAGCGCGGAGCTGGCGTGGCTCGGGGAGGTGGCGCAGGCTGTCCTGCAGAGGGACGCTCAGTGTTCTGGTCCCGGCACAGCAGCCACCGGAAGGGCGGGCGGGCGTGCATTTGGGGCTGTTCAGTCATCTCTCCGGCTGCGTGGACGGGCCCTGACCTGGGTTTTCTCGCATCGTCCCCCCCTTTTCGTCGCCAGTGGATCGTGTCTGGTTCGGAGGACAGCCTGGTGTACATCTGGAACCTTCAGACAAAGGAGGTGGTGCAGAAGCTGCAGGGCCACACAGGTGAGCCTCGGCAGGCGCGGGCCGCTCGGTCGCAGCGGCCGTTGCTGCAGAGACGGGGAGACGGCGCTTCGGGGTCTTGCGTCTGGTTCCGCCTCTCGTCCCTCAGCCCTCCGGTGCCTGCGGGGAGCGGCTGGGGAGTGGGTTTGTCTGGGCTCCCAGCTGGGCAGGGCCAGTCCTGGCTTCAGTCTTCCTGGCCACCCGCAGGCTGCCCAGCCTCGCTATCCACGTGGCTGTGCACGGGTCCCACGTCCAGACCGGCGCAGGGAGGGGGGACATCTGTGAACTGTCGGGGCTCTGGCTCCCGTCTCCCAGGTGGCTGAGGGGCTGGCCGCACTGGTTCCTCAGTGCCTGGGTGACCTTTCCTTGGCTCCTCTGCCCCTCCCCACCCCGCCGGTTCCTCAGTACGTGGCGCCCCCTTTGTTTACTCCCCCGCCGCCTGGGCAGACGCTCGGTGCTTGTTTGAAGCCGCTTGGGGAACAGGTAAAGTTTGGGGGTTCAGTTTATGTAAAAGCATTAAGTTGGCCGGTCCCAGATGCCAGCTCACGAGATGTGATGTCCCCACGGGGGGAGTGGACTTGGCTCGTGGTGACAGCAGCTTCCTTGGA